TTGTGCCTCTGCACCAGGGACTCGCCAAGGAGGAAAGGAAGGGGAAGCAGAGCTGGTGGGGGGTAGGGGTTGGTTTTCAGTTCTGAAAGACCCTACTCTCAAACTGCCGTGGCTTTTATTTATTTTAGTTACTGTTTTTTCATTTTATGTTTTCAGAAGTTAAGGGCGGCTGGGAGATTGACCGAAGGGGGCCACGGGTTGTGAAAGTTTTCCAGGCTCAGCCTGGTTCCCAGAGTCCCCACCAGGGAAGTCGTCCCCCAAAGCCCCCCCACACCCCTCCACTCCGCCCCTGCCGGTCAGGGGCTGTACTCCCGGCTACTGCCTACCCCTCACTTAGCCTACTGAGCTGGTTTTGCGACTGGCCAGCTTCCCACTCAGGCTGTTGTGAGGGCCCAAGCACCAGTTCAGCACTGTCAGGGCATCTGGTCCCCCAGAGTCGAGGCTAATGAGCACTGGACCCTCTCGGACTCCCAGGCACTGGGTCAAGTCTGTTTTCATTCATCGTCTTGTTTGAGTCCCATCATCAGTCTCAGGAAGCAGGGACTCGGTTTTTTCAGATCGTTTGTGATCTCTATTTTTCAGATAAAGAACGTAAAGCTTTAAGAGGCACCATTTCTTGTCCATGGTCACAGCCTGGCTTTGAAACCAGGGTCTTGGACTCTGGAGTTTGTGTTCTTACCCAATATACTGCCTGCCCCGAAAGCCATGGCCACCGGTTTCCCGTGGGATGAGTTGTGTGTTTTGGGGAAGGATTGAAGAAGAAGTGACTTCGTGGGGTGTGGTGGGGGGTGGTGTGTGTGTCACTGAGACCTACGGTTTAACCAAGGCTGACATGTAGCCCTGCTCTGCCCCCACCGACAGAAGTGGATTAGCGCCCTAGCCGTTTGGCTCAGTGGATAGAGCATCGGCAGGGGCGGAGGGTTCAATTCCGGTCAAGAGCATGCACCTCAGTTGCAGGCTGTTGGGGCCCCACCCTGGTTGGGAGGCAACCAATTGGTGTGTCTCTCTCATGTCATGTTTCTCTCTCTCTGTCTCTCCGCCTCCCTTCCATTCTCTCTAGAAATCAATGGGAAAAATATTCTTGGGTGAGGGGGGAAACAGAGCGGACCAAAGGCCTGCCTCTCTCCTCACCAGAGCAGAAGCCGGCCTCTCAAACTCCAAGGCTGGCAAGATGGGCGGCAGCCCTGGCCTGGTGGCACTAAGATGGAGGAGGTGGGGGTGCAGGTAGACCTGGAGAGGGAGGTATAACAATCCTCCCAGGAGCCAGGACAGCAGGTCTGACACGTGGACAGTCGTGGTCCCTACACGCCCAGATTCATCCAATCTTATTATAATGCAGGCTGCTAACAGCCACCCCCTCCTAAAGAAAGTTCTACTCCCTCTTCTCTAACCACAAAGGCACTGAAACCGGAGATGGAAGCGCTGAAGGGAGGCAGGATGGGTGGGAATGTAGGGGTCCCAGGCTGCTCACATGCATCAGGGACCATGCTCTTCCCCCCAACACTGTCGACTAGAACAGCCCCCTCCTCATGTCACTAAATAAAGGGCTGGTGAATAGAGCAGTTCACCTTGATGATCAAGCACTTAGGGGGAGTTTGGGGAGCGTGTGTGAACGCAATCGGGGTCCTTGGAGAGGCAAACGTTTGAAATTGAGAGCAGAAGATACATCCCTGGGGAGATGGATGTCTGGGAGACCACCCCCACCCCCACCCAAGGCGCTGTGTTTGGGGTTAGGGGATCAGGGAATGAGTACCAGAAGGCAGACACAGCTTACAAGGGCACCGAGGGAAGGAACCCAGGAGCTCAGGGCGCCCGGCCCCGCTGTGGGGGAGGAGTGGTGAGTCCGGGGCCACCCAGCCCGTTACCTGGAGTCAAACTTCTTGCCATCCTCAAAAGTGCCGTTGTAGTGGTAGCGCACGAAATCCCCCCTCTGCACTTCGCGGGGACAGGCCCTGGGGATGTGGTACCTCTCGATGACCACGTCTTCCAGGGGCCCCCCGGCCGGGCTGGCGCGGCCCAGCCCCCTCCCCACGGCCAGCACCAGCAGCAGCA